AATATCTTACACTCTGTGCTTTTCTTAGGAAAAATAAAATTTATTGGCTGGTTAAAGTATTTATCTGGGAATCTTGTACACAAATTTCAACAATCTTCGCAAAACCCCACATAGTTCAAAAAGAAGTTTATATTCAGGTCATTAGCTGGAAGTATCTGTGACAAACAAATTGCCTTAAGAACAACGTATACGACTTATTTTGTCTTGTAATTTATTCCTTAGTTATACCAAATGAAAAACTCTATATTTGGTTTTGATTACTTAAAGATGGCAAATGTATGTGTCTTCATTAGAAGTTCCACAAAATAGCCACAGGGACACATCCATAAGCACAAACAAACTTAAGAACTGTGATAGAGCAGAACAAATTTTCTAACATGTGCCTACACAAATTCATTTCGATGAAAATTTGTTCAATGCTGTATGCGAGAACTTCCCCTTATATTGGTAACACTAGGGGAAATCTAACAACTTTAGTATTTCATCGCTTTCCATTACTAGAAAACTCTTGAATTCAATGTTAGAGACAATAAAATTATCGTTAGACTAAACTATTTGTTACCAGCCAATACCTTCCAATCAAAACACTTATAAAACCGCATTAATATGAAATTTACGACTACTTGGGGAAAACGGTTATAAATTATACATAAAATACATATTTCTACATGGGTTGGAGTCTTAACCTGATTAGCAAAGAAACTACGTTGATAACTGGCAGCGAATAAATCACAAATTAAATGTTTTGTACTCACTCTCCTTTAGCGGTGCCTTGGGGAAGTTCCAATGTTAACTTAGCGCCAATATCATCAACTGGGTCACTGATAAAATGATTCAAAGGTGTTGTGGAACCAGATGAAATTATTTCTGCATTTAAGATTTTCACATCGCGAACATCTAAAATCTATAAAGCATTAATTATATCAGTTTCTTTGGTTCAATAGCACTTGTACTTTATTTTACTCACAATTGATTCCAAATTATTTTCCAAAACATTGAACTTGTGGGTGACAGATCCCTTCAATTTGGTGTTGTCGAAATCTACCTTCCATTCCAAACTGCTGTGTTTGGTTGTAATCAATTCCGGTTGAGAGTAAGAACTGGGATCCACTTTACCTAGGCGACCCATATTACGATTAGATACACAATAAACTGGAACGGTTTGAAGTAGATCGGATGAGGAAAGTTGTTGAGTGGTCAACGAACGTTTGTGAACTGTAACGAAAATTCCAACAATGCTTTACTAAAATTATATTTGGTTGCGGTGAGACAATTTTTAGATTATCTCGGTTAGGGATTTTTTAATCTTATCGGGTGGTGTTTGCGATATCTCCAAGTGTTAACAAGCAATACAGGGGGAGCAACAAGTGGATGTTAAATAATGATTTTAATCAATATAACACAAACGTTATATTTGCGAAATTGTCTAACCCGAAAAATTCCAAAATGCAATGATTGAGTACCTTTACGTAGCGTGGGTGAGCAAAATTGCAAAACTGGAATATCACTTTCCGTCCGGCTTTTGTAGGCCAACAAACTTTTTTGCAAATTAGGGATAGGTAAGTCGAATAATCGACTTTTGGTACTCAATGTTCTGATGCAGGCCACACACGATATAAGTGGTTGTACAACTTGGAGATTGTATTGTTGTTGACAAGATTGTATCGTTTGTGGGCCGGTTGTACGAAGTTGTGTCTCGGTTGCACAAAAAATCAAATTTTTTTGATATTTGGCATGTTGTGCCAACCGATAGTAACGTTTGTGGGCATGTCGTATACAATTTCATTTTGTGTTTATTTTCGAAGAGACAACAACATTAGGTGTGTCTGGTTACTTTTCCTACATTAATTTTCAGCAGCATCTTTCTGAGAGAGTAAGATAGTTTTATTTTTTTATTTTTTTGCAAGGAAACCCCGAAAAGAAAATAGACGGTATTCCTGCACAAGCTTGCAACTAATCAGCTGATTTGTCAAAACAAACTAATTTGTCGCCCATTAAAAGAATTAAAAGAGAGGAAGCACCACCAATTTCACAGTTTATAAATAAAATTGAAATTAGTAATTAAATAAAAATATGAGCAATAAAAGAAAGATAGATTCGATGTGTTCGGATTGTGATTCGGATGTTCCAACAAACGTTGGAAATATTTTTTATTTACATATTTTTTTTATTTTTTTATTACATACTAGCTGGCCCGGTCCGCGTTGCTGGCCCGTACTTTTAGTCATTAAAGCATAATAAATCACAGATCTGTCTTATGTAGGCGACACAATTTTGATTATAAGTAATGTCTCCATGACTAAATATAAATTAATATTCATGGCAAAAATTATAATTACCGTCGGTTTCAGATATTTTGAATAGCCTGATCTTATTTTTCAGCTATAGGTTTTAATTTGAGTGTTAAATACCTATATGATAAAGAACATCTATAATAGCCCCATGTGAAAATTCAGCTCAAATTTTGGTATTGTAAAAAGCATTGAAATGAGCTATAATTTGAAATTTGTGTTTCCAACGCTTAAAATCCCGTACTGCGTGGTATTTAGTTTTGTCCACCTTATACTTGAAGGCAGAATATTGTCAGAATAGTCAAAAAATTACTCCTTTGCTCCGATTACCGTAAGATGGGCATCATTTAAATTGTGCGGTGGAGATCCAATAAAGTTACTTTATAATTTCGTATTTTTTCATGTTTCTGCCGCAATTTCCGACTGAATGAGTCCCAGATTGACATTTCGGGGTTTATTTCATATAGACGTACATCCCAAATCTACGTTCCAACCAATATTCTCTTGGGGGTTACAAATTCAATAGAATACCAAATTTTCTTTTCTGACCACACATTGGTTGGGAAAGTGGACTTGGGGGTATATTAATGAGGGGACTATACTTAAATAAATGCCTATATGGATAATTATCTGTAAGATGGTTTTCTACCCCAGGTTTTTTTACCCCAGGTAGCTTCCGAAAAATAAAAATTTTATAAGAAGAGGTTTTCTTCCCCCTTAGAAACAAATATGCCAAATAAAGACCAAATAACGAAAAAAGTGGCGAATACCCCGAAAATACCTTAAATCATATGATGGTGATACCAAAACGTGATCATTTTTTGCAAAGATTTTTTTTCTTATGGTTAAAATGTAGAATATACTTGAAATCGGGTTGTTCCGTAATCGGGGGTTATGACCCATATCTTGACCTGCCAAAGCGATTAAAGGTATCTTGAATGTTTAGGAAGAATTTCTATTTTGCGTCCTTTATAGTCGGTATTTGACAGATTGCAGTCCCAATGTATTTTGCATTTTGTGTTCTCATTTGACAATTTATTGTCATATGGAAGAAGCAGGTCCACTTTTTGAAATGAACCCCATAACGCTTTTTCGGTCATTTTTGTTTGTTTAAATGTTTTCGCATCTTCCAGCTGAAGCACGATGTAGGTCTGGAGTAGAAAGCATTTAACATCGTATTGCGCCCTCGCATTTTGTAAAGTAAAGTAAAAAAGAGTCAATAAAATATAACATAACTTAACTTAACATTTTGTAAAGTTGTTCTCCAAAAACAATTAGTCTTGCTAATTTCAAAAAAATATTTTCCAATTACAAGCACAAAAAGAAATAAATAAACAATAGAAAACATCTGATTGAATGTCGATGGATGAGAAGAATAAGAGTTGAAAGAAGAAATCTGTCCAGCAAGAATTTGCAAATTCTCACTGAAAGAACTTTCAAATTTTTTCTCTCCAACCGCTCTTTTTTGCAAAACTTTCGGGTTAACAGACTTCCAGTAACAATTTGTAAGAATTGTTACAAATTTTAGGGTAACCAGACACACATATTGTTGTGCACATCCAAACAAGACGAAATTCGACCAAATGCGTGATTTTAATGAATATTATAAAATGGGATTTTAAAAAATTAATAATAAACAAAAGCTATTGAGTCAATTATATAGCATGAAATTCTTTCCGGTGTCATCTTAATTCAAATGAACTCTTCAGAAAGTGAAGTTGCATAAAGAGGTTGTACACAATTTTGTATCGTTTGTGGTCTGAGCATGGTAGAAGAATATAGGTAGATGCATCGACACAGCTGCTGGGACAATGAACTGTGAAACCAATTTTGGAATTAAAAATGTTGAATGAAATATTATTTAAATTTGTAAAAATTGTTGAAAAAAGCGAATTATAATAACCTCCGAAAGGCGTCGTATAAGAAAACATTTAAAAATCTACTTATTTTTGAAAAACATTTAATTTTTTGGACATATGAATGCTCCAAAGCGTTGATGCCTGTATTCTTCTGCCATGGGCCTGAGCATGCAACTTGACTACCCAAGTTGTATCGTGTGTGGCTGGCACTGGACTGTTCGGATTTGCCAAGTCGGAATGAATCATGAATACGATTCAGTAGCAATTTATGCCAAAGCTTTAGTAGCATTAAAAGTAACAGTACGTTTACATATAAATGGGTTAACCCACTGGATTTTGATTAAAATTGTCATATCCATTACATATACTTCAAATAAATCCTCTTGAAGTAGGTTAACCCTGCAAAAAGTTCTAACGTAAACATAGCATTAGAAAACAAGTCTTTCTCTATTTCAAATTATATTTTTCACAGAGTAACAAACTATTCTTAAACAAAAACAAAATTATCGCAAAATGTAATCCTTTGGATAGTCCATAATCGATGGGAAGTTTTCCAATGTTTCCTTGTCGATCATATCCAAACGTTGTGGTACTTGGCGCGGTGTTCTTATTTGATTTGATACATTTGCTAGTATTTCCTCTGGAACTTTATCATCTGCGAACAAATGAAGGCGCTGCATTGTATGTCTTCTTTGCAAATTTCCCTTCATTGAATTATATACAGCCTTATACATGACCATTGTGGGATCTTTTTCGTGCAATTGCCAAGCAAGGGTCCAAGAAGCACCACCAGGATATCCTGTGTGATGGAAATATACACGTTTTACCCATTCGTCACCGGGGAGAGCTATTTCTTTCGTATTTATAACGACAACATGGTCTCCGCAATCATCTGAAAAGGGACATTAAAATAAAGCAATTCGATTATAAATAATTAAAGGGTATTTACCACTCATTGCGAAGAAAGATATTTTTGACTGATTTTAATATTTTTCTAACATAGGGGCATATATTTAAAGAAACACATATAATTACATAGGAATACATTGTGAAATAAGGGCCGAAAGAAAAACACAAAGCATATTTTCCAAATTTTTGATGCAACACACCGTAGAAGTGATTACAACCGGAAAGAAATCGCTTATTTCAGAAACTTCCATGTTTATAATAAAAGAACGAAAATGATCAAGTTAATGCTAAGGGTTTGCCCATTTCAAAAGCACCTCCACTATAACTACTTGGTAATGTATACAGCTAGGGCTATCCTATCCCATAATTTTAAAATTTTTACCACATATATCCTTATGGTCTTGAGTTCGAGGATAATCCATAGTTGTCTGAATTTCAAAATTTTTAAGTGGACGGTCTTCGACTTGGGCTGTCCATCTTGCCTTGGTTGGTCTTACAAACACTAGAAATACACCCTTAGGAAACTTAGAGGCCAATAACTCGGAAAGTATGGACTTCGTTGTACTCAAGACAACAAAAAGGTACGTATGGCATAATTTTCAGACCGATCCGCGAGGCGGCCCTAAACTGTACACAAGTCATGCATTCCTATACTATACAATTGTGCGGGATTTCATTAAGACAATATAACCTTAACTTCACGAAGTAACAGAGATATGTATCAAAAATTCGCCCAGTGGCCAGTTAGGATTTGTTTTGGAGTACGTATATACTTTCATTTGACCTAGTTTTCCAAAGTATTGATCAACAACAGTTTACTTACTCATTGGATGATAAATAGGTTTCTGCATTCCTTTTAAATGCCGGGAAATGATTTTTGCAGAATCAAAAGGATTTTGCCAAGTGCAATCGTAGATGTGCCATTGACGAGCAAAAGTTGCCCATTGCTGAAACAAAACAAGTTGCATTATTTGTCTCTCATACAGATTTGTAATCAATAATGAAGTTCATACCTGAACCCTCTTTGCAATAGACATTTTTGGATAATTTTAATTGAAAACCCGACAAAGAATTTATTAAATAACAACTATTAATTCACGCATTCCCCTGTCATTTAGTTTGAGATGACAAACTGAACGATATCACCAAATCGATAACTGTTATCGATTACACATTACTAGGGCTGCCCACACATGACAAATTGTTATATAGCATGTTTACATTAGTATCGAACAACTGGTTCGCTCTTAAAATTGAGTACAGCCAAGGTGTATTAACAGCCTTTTTTTGTAAAAAAGGTTAAAAAGATCCGCTAACAAAAAGTTGATATGAAAAATTGTTCATATATAAGTTCCCCGTCATAAACACATAATTTTGTCGAGATTCTGTAACAAACAGTCAATTTCTGTTGAAAACGATGGGTCTCCTGCTATCGTTTTTTTCTTACATTTCCGTTTGTATTTTTTTCGTTACAAAAACCAAAAATACAAAGGGAAAAAAGATTTATTGTGTTTGTTATTCACAGAAAAAACATGCACTACAAAAACCCAAAATATATTTTCTTTTGATAAAATTCCAAACGAAAGGAAAAAATAATGTTACAAAAACAGGCTGTTAATAAGGTGTAATTGACAATCATATGATTTTTATTTTTTTTGTTTGTGAATAAAACTGTCAAATATAAGTACTTACATTGCCTTGCTTTGAACGTTATTTTTATACCCAATACCTTGGAAAGGAGGGTATATTAACTTTGTCATTCCGTTTGTAACATCCTTAAAAATTCGTCGTAGAACCCATAAAGTATATATATTCACAATCAGCATAAAATTCTAAGTCGATTTAACGATGTCCCTCTGTCTGTCTGTCTGTTGAAATCACGATACAGCCCACATTATTTGACGTAGAGCGCCAAAATTTAGCAGAGCAATTTGTATTGTGTCTGGGATGGTTGGTATTGAAAATGAGATATATCGGTCCACGTTCTGGTATAGTCCCCATATAACAGTACCTCCCGATATTCGGTATTTTAATGGTTTATGCCACATTTTTTTCACGGATTTGTCTGAAAATTGGTATTTGTAGATCATAACGGGTCCCTGTACGTGTGGCAAAACATTGCATGTATAGATATTTATTTATTTATTTATTGTTATGTTCGTTCCTACACAACAAGATTAACATCTTATAAATTATAGTGAAGGAATTATAATTACAAACAAATATCCGCTTGAACGTAGAAAAAAATAAAAGATTTTATGTAAATGAGACACGATAATTAAAAAATTAAACTTATATAAATATTAATTGAAATTTTTGAATGTGAATTAGAAGTAGTAATTGCAATAATAACATAAAAACAATGACAAAAGATTAAAATGCTTACACTCCGATAACTGCCTCCAAATTATGAAAATAATTCATTAGTTTTATTTTAAATATAGATACATTGCTGATACCTTGAATTTCAGATGGAAGAGTATTCCATAGGCGTATTGAGCCAATAAAAAATTGCCACTCCAAAACAAGACACCGCCGTTTGAGAGGTGTTAACTTTTTTCCTCTATTCGATCTTGCAAATCTGATCCTCTCAAATAGGTACTTCGGTGTCTGTTTGAATATTATTTTATGAAGGAATAATAGTGATCTGGTTTTAATGAAGGACATAACGAATAATGCTATTATAAGCCACATTTAACTTATTTCGACTGTGTGCATCACAAAAAGCAAAGAGCTCACATCCGTTTATTAACCCTGGTATCAAGTAAGATTTAGCCAAAAGTTGTCTTATGTATGGCGGAGTAAAGGAGTGGGAAAGCCATAATGTTCGCAATTTTGAATAAGTCTGTCCTACAGCCATACACCAAATTTTTTTTTTACTGGCAACAAGTGAAATTTTTTCTCGATTGACAAGAATATAGGTCCACGATTTGGTATAGCCCCCATATAAAGGTACCTCCCGATATTCGGTATGTTGATGATTTTTGCCACATTTTTTCTCTGATTTGTCTAAAAATTGGTATTTGTGGATCATAATGGGTCCTTGTTCGTGTGGCGAAACATTGTATGTATAGGTCCACGTTTTGGTATTGTCCCCATATAACGGTACCTCCCAATATTCGTTATTTTGATGATTTTTGACACATTTTTTTTCACGAATTTCTCTTAAAATTTGTATTTGTAGGTCATAATGGGTTCTAGCTCCGTTGGCGAAACATTACATGTGTAGGTCCACGATTTGGTTCCTTTACCCTAAGGTGGATGGTATTTAAAGTTTGGCCCGACCGAACTTAATGTTTTTTTTACTTGTTTCCCATTAAATATTATATTTTGTTTTTTAAAATCACCTCAATAACTTGCATTCATATGCAACTAATCAAAATGCGAAAATGTACTATATGCAAAAAGAAAGAAGTTTGTGGAAATGGAAACTTTTTGCTGTCCCAATTACGAATATAAAGGACAAGAGTCAAATATTCGGGATTGAATTGTCTATTAAATCGGGTATAATAAAAGGAATTCATAGAAAATTCTTATAACCTAATGCTCAGCCATGTCCTTATTTCAGTTCGGTTAAATTGTAAATTGAAGAGTGGTATGTGTATGATATGTAACCATAAAGATGTTATTTATATTACTTATTAACCTAGCTCATTTATAACCGAAATAGAGTCCTTTGGCATGGATTGTTCGAATTTTGAAGAAGTTGAGATTCTAAATAACGAAGAAATAAAAAATAAAGAAATGGATACACAATCAGTTATATTGCAATTTTATTTGATTTTAAAATACAGATAGTTCTTCAAACAAAGTGTACAATTTAGGTAATGTCTCTTAAGATGGATCTCAAATGAACTATCCACCTACATCACTTCATTTGGTTAATACGCCTATTGGCCTAGATCGTAGTTTTAATCGGATAACTTTATTTGGTTGGTTTACGTGAATGCAGCCCACTGGTTAGTTATTCCAGAGTAATGTTATGACAGGTCCTTTGATTTTATATCTATTTCGCGATTGTATAAGGCAATATTTAAAACTAACTTTCAAATATTTTCTCTCGGCAGGGTTGTTTTACGGGATTTCATTGACAATAGCTGGGACAGCTAGCTTTTGTGTTAGAAATATAATATCTTGGCCGCGTCATATGTTGTGCATACCTTTTGTGTGATCATTAGTATTAGGATATTAAAAATACGAAATCTAGTCCGACCGAAAACGACCGCTTGTATTCCATAAAGACTTTCGTATGTCCAGCGTCCAAATTACTTAGACATTCCATGGTAGAAGAATATAGGTAGATGCATCAACGCTTGGGAACATTGATAAGTCAAAATGTTTTGTCAAAAATAAGTAGATTTTTATATGTTTTCTTATATGACACAAATCGGAGGTTGATATAATATGTATTTTTCAACACTTTTTACAAACTTCAATAATTTTTCATTCACGAATTTCAATATCAAAATCGGTTTGACAGTTTATTGTCCCAGCAGCTGTGTCGATACGACTATCTGTATTCTTTTACCATGAGACATTCTGTTACTCCTATATACGTTTTTTAAGTTTTGTTGTGCCATTACTGGCCATTATTTGTTCCAAATTCTTAACCAAAACTTTCGTTTTGTTATTTATTTCTTTTCGTTTTTAATTTTGAAACTAATTGTCAATATGACAATTTAGTTTCTATAAAAACAATGTTGTTCTTGTAATGTGTTAGTTGTTGTAGCTGATGCATACACCTTATAGATACACCTTGGGTACAGCATTTAAGGTGCAAGTACATAAAAAGCTTGAAGTTATGGCTAGGCATATTAATGTCAAATTATAATGGAAAACGACGGCAGGATTATAGTGCGGATCTGTAATCCCTTTATGAAATGTCACAAAATATGCCTAGCCATGACTTCAAGCTTCTTATGTACTTACACCTTTAATCCGAATACACATGATAGAAGAATATAGGTAGATGCATCAATGCTTAGGAACAATAATATGTCAAATTTTTAAAAATGTTTTTCTAAAAATAATTTCTTATACAATTGTAAAACGTTTTAAGAAATCTATCTATTTTCATAGAGTTAAGATGTAATTATTTGAAAATTTTTTCCATTTTTTCCTGCAAAGGATGATATTTTAAATATATATTTTTCTGTTTTCAAAAGATCAACTGGAGTGACAATTGTCAAAATAATTTTGTTGATACACTAATTCATAAATTATAGAACGTTTACTTGGTAAAGGATTTTGAAACCTCAGTTGGTTAAAATTGTCAATTACACTGT